GAAACTGCTTGCTTAATGTCCGCTGCCGCGAACCACTTGAATTCGCACTAGATTTTCTGGGACGCAGAAAAAGAGTGAGGTGCAGAATTGAAACACGATGCTGACCCCACAAACGCGTGAACACAATGCACTCTCGTAATTTTAATGGTAATAATATTCTAAAATTCTCATTTTTCGCGTACCTAGACCTAATTTCCCCTTGCCGCAGCTATAAATTCTTCTCTCTCGCTTCTCTCCCCAAACCATCATCCCTTCTACTTCAGTTTCCCTATTGTTCTTACCAGCATATGTCTCAGAGGCCTCGCGTACCTCATTCTTCTTCCATAGCTTGCGGTGTCCATTCCCATCTCCTGGTTTCCAGTGAGATGAACCCCAATTCCAATTGGTCTCAATAGTTTCTTGTTTTTGAGCCAAACTCCTTTCAGAATATATTAATTTGCCAATCTCATTGCTTTTGTTTTGTGATTATTTTGAGAGAAAATCATGGGTGTCAAAGGATTTGTTGAAGGAGGCATAGCGTCGGTTGTGGCTGGATGCAGCACGCACCCGCTTGATCTGATTAAGGTTCGAATGCAGCTGCAGGGAGAGACTCAGGTGCGGAACCCGGCGGTGCAGAGTCTTCGTCCGGCGCTTGCGTTTCATACAGCAGCGCCGTCCTCTGCCATTCACGTGCCAAAGCCGGCGCGTGTTGGTCCGATCTCGATTGGTGTCCGAATTGTTCAGGCGGAAGGCGTGGCCGCGCTCTTTTCGGGGGTTTCTGCCACCGTTCTCCGCCAGGGTCTTTACTCTACTACCCGTATGGGTCTGTACGACATCATGAAGCAGAAATGGACCGACCCGGAAACCCACACCATGCCCCTCGGGCGCAAGATCGGTGCGGGACTGATCGCCGGAGCAATTGGCGCAGCCGTTGGGAACCCGGCTGACGTGGCAATGGTCCGAATGCAAGCGGACGGCCGCCTCCCTCTGGCTCAACGCCGCAACTACACGAGCGTAATCGACGCCATCACTCGGATGAGCAGACAGGAAGGCATCACTTCCCTGTGGCGCGGTTCGTCGCTCACGGTGAACCGTGCGATGTTGGTGACGGCGTCCCAGCTGGCATCCTACGACCAGTTCAAGGAAATGATTCTCGAGAAGGGGGTAATGAAGGACGGGCTGGGGACCCACGTGGCAGCGAGCTTTGCAGCTGGGTTCGTTGCCGCAGTTGCGTCGAACCCGGTGGACGTGATAAAGACGCGGGTGATGAACATGAAGGTGGAGGCCGGCGAGAAGGCACCGTACGCGGGGGCACTGGACTGCGCGATAAAGACGGTGAGGGCAGAGGGTCCGATGGCACTGTACAAAGGTTTTATACCTACGATTTCGAGGCAGGGGCCGTTCACGGTGGTGCTGTTCGTGACGCTGGAACAGGTCCGGAAGTTGTTGAAGGAGTTTTAGGGAGACGATGATGATGAAAAAGAACACTAGGAAATTAATAAAGTACTAGAATTAAATTATTTTATTTTATTTTATTTTGATGATGTTTAAGTTTGGGAGGAAATAATACGCAAAATCTGCTACTGTTTCCTACTTTAGGAAGTGAGTCTCATTCTTAACATCCCTTATCAATTTTATAATTACCACAGCTGTTGCCAAGAAATCTAAAGATTTTTTTTTTTTTTTCCTCTCAAAACTAATGTGTTGGAGATGTTCCAGGAACATTGCATCGAATGAGTTATATGCACATTAATACATATTAATTTTCAGTTTAGTATTGAAATTATTAAAATATTTTTAATAAAATTTTATTTTATGTTAATTTATTAATAATAATTTAATAATT